ATGAATACATATGTTTGCTTTATTAAATGGTTATTTTTGTTTCTTAAGAACAACAAAAATGAGATAAAACACTATACAATGTCAGAAATATACAATAGTTATCATTTCATGTTTATTAAAAACATAATTATATAGTAGATAAGTCAAGAGGTACCACATTAAGGTACACCAATAAATATAACATGGCCAAATGGGCAAACACCAGTAACCCCAACTATTTGAGAGGGTAAGGCAGGAGAATCAAAAGTTCAAATATAGTTTGGGTAACTTATCAAGATCTTGTCTCAAAATAAGGACTGGGGATATAACTGAGGGTTAGAGTGCTTGTCTAGCATGAATGAGACCCTGTGTTCAATCCCTAGTACTGGAATCAACTATATGTAATAGTATTAATATAATACATGTATAGGACTTCCTATTTATCTGGTTCAAGCTATAAATAGAGTTTTTGGGTGGAAGAAAAGATAAATACTATATATTCTACAAGAATTACACATTTTAATAATTAAGAAAACACAGGAATGGCTATTTGCTTGTTTGTGTACTTATTTGTATTTTTTGTGCTACTTCTCAGAGATTTAAATTGGTTTGGGTTCACAGTACATATTCTGAGATAGTAAAATAGAAATCAGTAGTAAATTAAAATCAAGCAGAAAGTGAGACATACAAAAACTGAAAAGAAATATCAGAGAATTACCTCAGTTTGCACAGATTGGTGATTTTTTTGCTCTTATCTCTGTACATTTTTGTCAAACCAAATATTTTGCAATGTTTTTACTATAATATTAAATTAATAAATACCTATGTGTAATTAAAAAACACAATAGCCTACTACAAAATAAAGCTTTAATAAAAATATAAAATTCTTTAGCAAGATTTCACTAGAAGATAAAAAAGTAATCAATACTCTGAATGTTGACTCTTCATGAATGTGAGAATTACAAAAACAGACCAAGTGTGATACATTGGTAACTCAAATATAACAAATAAAACTCCTCCAAACAAAACAAAGGTTAAATCCCTTGGCTTTACCTTTGTTATATTTCTGTCAAATTCATATGACTGATCAAAAATTTGCCCTACTGATGTTCAGGTCTGAGTGAGATACCTAGCCTCCAAAACAACCTTCAATAATTTTTCTCACAGGCAACTTGCTTATCATATCAAGGAGTTTATATGACCTCACTTTAAGTCTGGAATCATCTTCTGCCTGGCCTTGATTTAGCCAGATGGAGAAAGTGGAAAATGGGAACTCAGGCAAAGACACACTATAGGTTTGTAGCAGCCATAGAGATAGCATGGGAGTCTGGGGCCAGATAGTGATGTGTCTTCCATGGCTCACTAATATGTCCATTAATATTGAAGAGCAATTTCACAACCAGAGAAAGAAGTCACAAGTTCACCACATCACCCTCCCAACCTCCCTTGCAGTTAGCTTGGGGCCTTGTAACTTATTGAAGGATTGAAGTGGTGTAAGCCATTTTCAAGCCTGATTCTTAACAGCATCCTATATAAGCTTCCAATTCACTGTGCATCTACCTTAGATGGGAGAAAGTGTATTCTGGATGGCAAAGTTCCAAGAATTAACAGGTCTGTATCTGACTGTCACATGTATAAGAAGTAAACTTGTATTAATTCACTGATATGAGTTGTACCAGTCAGAATTCTGACAGGAAACAAATTGTCCAGGTAACTCAATGAATAGATCTCAATGAAGGTTTTCTTTCAAAGGTGTTGGCAGATAAGTAAAGAATCAAGGGAGATAGGAAACTGTCACAACCTCTAGGACTAAAGGAGTAAAGGAAGGAAATAGTTTGGACTAAAGGAGTAAAGGAAGGGAATAGTTTGGACTAAAGGAGTAAAGGAGGGGAAGAGTTTTCAGATCTCTGATTGTGGAGTCAAGAAGGAAAGCTGCCCAGCAGGAGCCCTAGTCAGGTAAGAACCAGTCACAGCTAACTCCGAAGGAGGAGGGGTACAAAGAAATACCCTGACATGCTTCTTCTCCCATCTTCCAACTCCTGAGAGGAGATCCCCATTGGCTAACTTCAATCAGCATGCAGCCTAAAGGGAGGCAAATGATGCAGTGTGAAGAATCTGGTCTCCTGGGGCACAAAGCAGTTCAGGGAAGGGAAGAGAATAAGCACTTCAGAGGTACAGAGAACAAGGAGCTCAGATTTGTCTATTGTAGAAACCAGCTTTAGTTGCTTTAATATAAAATGATGGAAGGAGGATTTGAGGGAGATTTTTTTTCTTGTGTGTGTGAGTGTGTGTGTGTGTGTGTGTGTGTGTGTGTGTGTGTGTGTGTCTATGGGTTAAACTCAGGGTCTCACACATGCTAGGCAAGAATTCTGCCACTGAGCTGCCCCAGCCCTAAAATAAGGTTTATTGAAATATAGTTCACACAATACAAAATTCATCCTTTTGAAGTGTACAATTCGGCATTTTTTTAGTATTTTCATACAGTTGTACAATCACAATTCTAGAACATTTTTATGGTCTTACTCCATTGCCTACCAATCTCATAACCATTAAGCAGTCACTCTTCATCTTCCTTTCTTCCACAACCACTGGCATCCATCAATCTATAGTCTGCTGCAGTGGGTTTATCTGTCTGGATGTTCCATGTAAATGGAACCACAAAACAAGTACCCTCTTGCATCTGGCTTCTTTTAGCTTAGCATGTGTATCATTTACTTTCCTGTCACTGCGACGTTCAGCTATGAACTCATCAATGGATTAACCTATGAAGCATATAGTGCTCCATGACCCAATCACTTTTCAAAAGTTCCACCTTCTGAACACAAGAGACTTTGGGGGTGGTAAATTTTAGACCCAAATCATATTTTACCCCAGTTCCCCAATGGCACATGTCTACCACACTATGCAAAATGAATTTAGTCTATCTCCAAGAGTTGGCAAAGTATTAAAGCTCCAGGGTTGCTCCCAATCTGAAGTTTCCTTTGAGACTCAAGGCAAATTCTTAGCTGTGAGCTCCTGTAAAAAGTAAAAAGAAAGTTAAATAATTCCATAATATAATAGCACAAGTTATGTTTTGGCATGTTTATATATTTTAATATTCTTTCCAGTATGCCAAAACTTTGGGTTAATAGTACAAAAGGAAACCAATTTCCATAATGATAAATCATTAGTGTCAACTTTTGATTTTAACAGCAATAAAATCTATTTTTGGATTCTGCTAAATTTAACGATAATAAAGTCATATTTAAGACTATAAAAAAGGAAGAATAAGAGACCAGAAAAGGATCAGATGAAAGCAAGACCAAAATCCAGCAGGGCTAACATTAAATTCTGTAGCTCTATCTGCAGTACCTAGAGCAAGGTGTGGTGGGATGTGAACTTTAATGGGCTTGGGAAGCCCTGCCCCTTTTGGCTTTGCTGATTGCAACTCACATGGCCTCTCTCTTGGACTAGCTCTGCTCATGGCCTATAGCTTTCCTCAGCAGACATTCCATGTTCCTGGCATGTTCAATTTCTTGGGATCACCGCTGTATTTTCAGGTTCATTCCCACAGCTTCATGCACAACCCTCTCAGGTGCACATTGCCTGGCCTCCCAGATCCTCCTCTGAAATCTAGTGCAAGCCCCCATGACTCCATAAATCTTCATTTTACATGCTTGTTTGTACAACCAGCACAACATTGATGGCACCAAGATCTGCCGCCATCTCAGTAGTAGCTGGGGCTTCTTAGGACATGCCTATAGCTTAATTAGCAAGGCAGCATGAGACTTTCTTTTCAAAGCAAAGTCTTTCCAAGGAGTTTACTCTTTTACACTCTTGAGCCTCAGATGGATGGTAGTCTTGTCAGTTCTTGAGACTCTCAAGGTATCTTTCCTATTTTCCCGATGCAAAGTACTTGGATTCTTTTCAGTGGCACTAATCCTTTCAGCAAGCATACTTTCCTTGGCCCCTACTTCGTAGGTGTTTCCTTTCTGGCAAGCTGCAAAATTTTTATATCTTTTGGCTCTGATTTTACTCCTAATTCTCATTGTAAATCTGGCTGAAAGCAAGCAGCAGTATTGTACCACAGCCTGAACACTGGGCTGCCTTTCCTCTGCCAGATTCATTAGTCACCATCTTTAAATTCAGACTCACAATAACTGTCAGGTTATAGAAAAAATATAGACATGTTCTTTTCCAGAATGTAACATGCATGGCAACATACTATAATTTCTAATAGATCCCTTATTC